ACAGTGCACCCCTCTGCAGGCTCAGGTGGATGTCAGCACCCCGTTGTGAAGAAGATTTACTTTTTTCTTTTGCTTTTCTTAATCAGAACTTACTGAAACTCAGCGTGTGGCCCATGGCAGCCAACAGCAGTGGGGAAACTGAAGCACAGCGTGGCTGACAGCCCAGTGACCAGTGCTGAGCACACGGCAGGGATGGGTGTACCAACAGAGCTGACCTGCAGTCAATCCCAGTTCATGTCTCTTCAGCATCACAGGGCAGGGTTATTTCTGGCTCCTGATGGACGCAGAGCCCTCTCGGCGTTTGGAGGTGCACATGGCTGAAGTCAAAGTGCAGCATGGATCCACGTGGCCTGGGAGTGGGACTCACAGCCCAAGGGTGCTGGGATGTGCAGCGGGATGGGATCAGGGCTGACTTTCTGCCCTGGAGCCCCCAGCCATGCCCCACTGCATCCACCTTGCGATGGGCAGCGTGAGTGCTGAGCTCCGGATGGAGGAAGACAGCAGCAGCAGCTGTTTGGAGCACACTCACAGAGTGGCTGCATTTTTTCCCCCTGAGCAGTAAATCGCGGGCTGGGACGGGCGGCATCCCTCCCATGGTCGCCCCGGGATGAGTTACGAGGAGCGAGCTCCGCAGCCAGGGCTTTGCTCCAGGGCCCTCCCAAGAGCCGTTCTCCTCCTTTTTCAACCCAAAACCACACCGCTGCCCCACTGGGGTCACCCCAGCCCCACGGCAGGACCTCACGCTCCCAGCGCTCCTCCGCTCCCCGTCCTCCCGCGGCCGCGGCGAGCGGGCAGATGTCTTGCTGACAGCTTCAGGAACACCTTGTAGCAGTTGCGGTGATTCCCGAGATCCATTGCTTCCCATTTCAATTCACACATCATGATTTCTAAACCTCAGCCCGCACCTTCTTGCCGCGGCTCCCCACCTCCAGCCTGCCAGCACTGGAACTGATGGGGATGGGGACATAGGGAAGAGGACCTGGCTCATCCCTGCCCAGCCAGCACCTCCTGCCATGCCGTGCCTTAGGGAGAGCCCCCCAAAATGGGCACAATCAGCAAAACGTGGGCTGGAAGGCACCTGGAGGGCAGTGAGGGGACGGTGCTCCTTTCTGGGCACCCAGGGCTGAGCCGCTGTGTTCCCCTGTGCTGTGTGGCTGTGGTAGAGGCTTGGCCTCGGGGTGATAAAAGCAGCGTGTTTTTCCAATTAGAAGAGCCAAATGTCTTTTCCTGCCAGCGTTCAGCCCAGCCTAACATGCGATGTCTACATCTTAACCTTGAAGAAGCCTCCAGAGACGCTGCGAAATAAATCAACGCAGGTCCACGTGCTGGAAAACAGAACCAATAAATAACTTCAGAACAGCTTTTCTGTTTACTGTATGAAATCCCCGCTCTTGGCCGCCCTGTTCAAAAACAGCTCCACAAAATAAAGACAGAAAGAAACACTAGCAGCACTGTAGGGCAGCAGCCACCAGCACAGGCTGGCTGCAGGTGCGAGGCCCACTCCCCACCGACCTCTGGGATTTGGGGCAGAGGGTGTCTGTGCAATGTTTCAAAAGTATTAATGAAGATAATAACAATAATAAAAAATACACCCTGCAAAACAGCCTCCTAGTGCTGTTCTCCTGAGGGAAGGAGGATGCTGGACTGAAACTTGCAGGAGATACTCACCAAGTCCTGTTTGGTACTCAGGAGCCATGGGCAGCAGCATTGCTGGCCCCAGCTGTGCCCCCACAGGTGCCAGATGGTGAAGGGCAACCCCAGGCTGCTCAGAGCAGCAGCGGTTCCTCCTCCTTTATGCCAATAATTAATATGTTTTTCGCTTTAGCATAAAGGAAGTTTGCAGGAGCAGTTGAAAGGGGATGTATAAAGGCATCTTCCTGCTTCCTGGGGTAGAGAGGTCTCATGGAAGTTGCAGGTGGGACTGTGGCAAATAGCATTGTGATGGAGTGCCCATGGCCCACAGTGATGGCAACAAAGTTGACACAGCCACGTGAGCTGGAGGTGGGAGAGGTGGCCTGAAGCATGGGGGGCCACTTGCAAAAGGCAGACCTTGGTTATATCCATGCGGTCCCACCTGGGACATGGCCCCAGAAGAAAATGACATTTTCAAGTGGAGATTCCTATCCATTCCCAGCCCAAAACCCAGCCCAGAGCAGTGCTGGGGCTCCATCCCACCCATGTCTGCATGGTGCTGGGCTAGATGGGAGCCTGCTCACCTCGAAGGGCTGCTGCTTGGGGCACAGCTGGCTGTGGACACACGGGGCTGCGCACAGTCCGTTACTGGGTTTGCCTTATGTGCAGTGTGGATGGATGCTTGGGGAGTTCCTCTGACATCTCAGCATTGGGAACAGCAGAACAGAGCCTTTTGGAGAGAAGCATAAGCAGAAATCAGCAATGTAAGACAAATCACTGCAAACCAATGCAACAGGCAAGTCCAGCTCCGTTCTCACTGGAAGCCCCTGACCCAAAGCAATCTGCTGTGTGGGGGCTGAGCTCCACAGCCCTCCTGGGCCATGCACCAGTTGGAACTCCATCCCCAACCCACAGTCATGGGGAGCTCAGCCTCTACAGTAGCCCTTCCCACGGTCACTGATGGGGATTTATTTGTTGATTTATTTTACACGGGTTCACCTTCTCTGGACACCAGCAGCATCCCAGAGCAAGGAGGACATGATGGGCCAGGGTCACAATCCCGCAACACACAGGTGATGTACCCACAGCAGCAGATGGGCACCGTGCCCCCCACACACCCATCACTTCCCCATTCAGTGTCACTGTCACGACTATGCTCCCATTGTGGCTCAGGGATGAGGGCAGCCCCACAGGGCCATGGGCTTTGTCACACACAGCAAATAGCAAAGGGACAGGTTTAGCAACCGTGGGTCCTTCTGTTCTTCCTTACATCTCAGAGCCATTTCTCCACCCCTTAAATGCTTTACATTATTTATTATGTTTCATTTAACCCCAGCCACGTCCTCCAAATAAAATTTATTTTGCAGCTGTCATTCAGGTTTACTCCAGCCTTAACCTCATAATCCTATTGATTCCCTCATTATTCTCCGGGTGCGGGATTGATTTCATGCCTTCTGTGTTATGGAGAAGACTTTGCTCATTAATCTCACACGCGTTTACAAACGGCCAGACCCAGTAATTCATTATTTTCTCCTTCTCCACACAAACTCTGTTACCTTGTCCACATCACATCTTGATTTTGGGACATGGGACGGCAGTGATTTCTCTCCTATCTGGCTGCTTTCTGGAGGGAGCAGTGATGAGCACCCACCTTTATGCCCTACACTGCCATTGGGTTTGGCCATGGGGTCTGTACCCAGGTGGCAATTGCACACCTCCACCCCAACACCTTGTTGGCACAGCAGTGTTGTGGTGCAGTGTTCCATGCAGCCCCATCGGTGCTGGATGTGGAGGAAGACTTGACCCCTGTCGTGGAGGCTTAAAGTAAAAAATAGGCAGACACTGTGGGGCAGACACATCATAAATCCAAGCGGAGGGCCAATCTCAAATATTTCAGCTCTTTCCCTCCTCCCCCCTATAATATATAATTGTCTTTGTTGGATCAATACAGAGGGGCTTTGTGGAAGGAGCGCGCTTTAAGGGAAGATTAATGTCGTGCATTATGTATGCAGCTAGGAGGAATTCCAATATCCAGCTTCCAGGAGGAAAGAAAAGGTCGGAGCGATGGGATCCTCCTTCCAGGATGGGAGCACAGCACAGCCCACGCCACAGCTAGGAGTGGGAGATTCATGTAGGTTTGGACCCCTCACACCTACCCGTGCATGGCAGCATCCCACCCTCAAGATGCAGAACGAGCATCATTTTTCCACAGGAGAAGTCCATCAGCATTGCCCTGGGTACACACACACACACACACACACACACAAGCATCATCAGCAAATGAACACCTGGTCTGAAGGCAACAGCCCAGGGCTGAGCCCTCTGCTCAACAGCAAGCCAATGGTGGCTTCCTTGAGTTGAGCATCCTGCAACCCGCGGCCATCATATGGAATACATTTAACCAAACCGAGTTTTGATTAAACGCCATAAATATGATTGATTTGGTTACACAGCCTCCACATGACAGTCCGTTTAATTTATTTTTTCATTCTGAGTAGGGATGTTGCATTGATCCGAAACATTGGCTTTGACTACCACCGTAAATTCCCATTCTTGGAGACCCGCTGCGGCATTATTAATATTTTTACACTTACCAGCAGTGGTTGGGGTCAACCTCTGTGCCCTGGGCTGGCACCAGGGGGTGAAGCCCCATTCTTTGTCCCCCTGCCAACCCAGCACTACCCCCAGCCCCATTCCCTGTGCTGTATCCACGCACTTGGTGCTCTCCATGCAGTCTGTTTGCTCTCTGCAATCCCACAAACACCCCACCAAAATTTGGAGCAGTCCTACTACAGATCTCCCTACATCAGCTTCTCTTTGTTCTTAGCAGGGACAGAAAAATATCCCAATATGTATTTTTTTTATATATTACCAATAAACTGAAAAAAAAAAAAAATAAATAAACTTCATGTTTTCAATATAGTCCCAGTTTACCACCATGGTTGTCATCTCGATCGTTGTGTGTATTTTATAAGAGGCTTCAATGATAACCAGGTTGAGCAGTTGGCTTCTCCACAGATGCGCTGTTGTCCACCAGAAGTGATCTCTGCTAGCACAGCATGTTGGAAACAATGCTGAAAAACACCAGGAAAGCGCCTGTCCTCATTGAAGCAGTGCTCTGCATTGGGTGTTCAAAGGGAAGAACCTGAATTACTCGGCACTGAACCAGCACAGCCTGAACTGCTCCATCATATAACAGCAACCCAGGGCACAGCGATGCTCCTCCACCAGTAACCCACTAATAAAGCTGGGGAAAGCCATAAGTGACCCACAGACCTGAGCTAAGGGGAATAAACCACAGCAACCTCCAAACACAGAGATGTAGATGCACGGCACTGCGCACCCATAGCATCCCCAGGAATTACATCCTGCTCCTCCAACAGCAGCCCCAAACCAGCCAAGCATTTCCTCATGGCACGCTGATGTGAAAAGATGCATGTAAAACTTTCATAGCCCTTTTCCATCTCATATTTAATGTGCGAGAGTTTCTGTGTGCCCAGGTTAGGTAAACACTGGGGAAGATTGTTTATAGAAATTATACACAGAGCGGTGCTGGTTTAATTTATCAAAAAAGGTTTTGTTGAAATAAATTTATTTTACAGCAAAACCCACTTAAACCTGTTTGAGGGATGACCGTGTTTAACCAGCCCTGTTTGTCACCCAAAAGGACAGCACTGAGATACCATCTGCCAGGGCAAATAGTCCCAAACATCCACAGAGATGGGATATCAGGAACTGGGCCAGGAAAGGAGCACTGCCACCACCGTCCCCCTGGTGATGGGTCCCACTGGGTCCCAAATTGGTGATACTGGTGGTCACTGAGCTGTACTGGGGGCTCTCAGCCCCAAAGAGACGCTGTGCCCTGTGGCACAGGGAGGGCAGGGATGCTCTGCACAAGGTGCAGTGTAGTGGCACTGCGGCTGGGGGGGCCACGATGGCACCAAGCATGGGACAGATGTGCTCAGGGATGGGCTCCCAAATGGGGACACCTCTCCAATAACAGCATCCCCAACATTTACCAGACTGATGGCTGTTCCTTGCTCTCATTGATGTGCCTGGATCACCAACACTTAGGAATAATCATAATAATAGGAGTCACCCAGTGGCCATTCCTGAGGCTCACAATGGAGTTGCATCAGTGCTCTCGCATTCCCTCTGCTGGCTCCATCCTGCTGCAGCACCCAGCTGCAAAGAGAGCCCAATTGGGAGCACTCCAAACACAGGGAACACTGCATTTCTCCCTTAACACAGCTCAGATAAACACACTTACATTAATTTCCCCCATTCAAAGGGGATAAAACGAGCAGACAAGTGGATTTAAAGTATACACCCACAAGAGTTGATCTCAGTGAGCAGCCAGGCTGGGAGGGGGCTTCATTCATTCATTGCTTCAGTCATTCATTCATTGCCAGCCCAGGGGGCAGCAGCCGGGTTCAGCTCTCTGTCAGGTTCCCAGGTTCTGCCTCGATTGTACTGATAGGCAGGGGCTGAAAAAAGAAGGGAGGGGATAAGGAAAGCTGTGCTTTGGAAGCAATCAATACAAAAAACAACTGAGGAAGACAGGGGGAGCGATTTGAAATTCTATGGGAAAGGTGGATAAAACCTGGAAAGCATGAAGGCCGGCTCTGATTTCAAAGTCCATGGTAGCATTCCAAGGCAGAGCTTTAAAATTAGAAACAGTGCACAAAGTTACTTTTCCATCGAAATGTCATGTTTTCCATCTCAGGAATGCATTCTGCCACCGGGCAGCAAGCGCTCTCCAAACAGATTTGCTGCAGCAAGAGCTTCCAGAAAAACCTCCCAGAGAAAGCAGAGCATCACTAGCGAGTGTTCTGCAAACAGCCAGCTGTAAGGGAGCAGCGTGGGCAGCGAGTCCCAGCCTGAGGTTTGCTGCTGATCCCTCAGCAAGGGACAAGAGAGATTTGGACCAGGAGCATCACCAGCAGCACCCACCGCCACCCCAAGGCCAAGGGCAGAGGACAGCCTTCCTCTTCCCTATGGTATCCCAGCACAGGGAGGTGCAGGGGCCCATTTCTGCCAGCACCCAGCCTGTGGGGCCGAAGCCCCCGTCCTGCTGGCGCCGTCCCCCCCAGCCACCCCACACAGCCCCGCTTTGAAGCCGTGCCGGGGCTGGCAGCAGCACTGGGGCTGGAAGGGATGGACGGCTTTGAAACTCAGAGAGAGATGAAAAGCAGCCGGAAGCTCATCCAACGAGTGACTGCAGGGCCAAGGCTGCTGCTCTGAGTCTGCTGAGCTCGGGCTGCTCTGCCAGAGCCTCACTCCCCTGGGAGCTGCTTGTTCAAGATCTGCTGCCTGCCCTTTCCTGGAGATGAGGCTACAGAGGGCTTCCGGCTGAAGATGCTGAGGTGCTCCCTGCCCAAACCAGTGTGCAGGATGCCACGCCTGGTTGCTGCTGCTGAACTAACAGAAGAAAAACCATTCCCTTCCCACAGAGCTCAGCACTAAGGAGCAGGAGCACCCACGGGCAACATTAGCTGCTTCCCTGCTAGCAGAGCAAGCAAAGCTGCAAACCAGGTTTAAAATAGCTGAGAACCTCAGATGGCTTTTTACCTATTGGGTTCTGCTCCAGCTAAGTTTAATGGATGTGGCTCTGGGAGCTGAGACTCCAAACACCTCAGCCCTGCAGGGACGGCAGCCTCAGGGCCCTGCACTCCTGGCACAGGGGATGCCCAGGCATTAGGAATGCAGGAGACAGGGATTAATGAGATCTGCACTAATGCACGTGATTGTTTATAGGAGCAGCCCCTCCCTAAGCCCGTTAAGCCATTAGGGCTCATCAGGGCCCTGCAGCACTGGACTGCCCAGCAGAGCTGCTGCTCGTCTGCACTCCCAAGACCAAGTTGGGCTTGGAGCAGTGGGCAGACGTTTTGTCCAGAAGAACCCAGTGAGCAGAGCTGTGTCTGTCATTTCTCCCTGGGTGCACCCTCTGCAAAATCATCCCGGTGTGACAAGCATCACTCCCTGCATGGCACTAGACCAAGCATTGCATCCACACACACTATGTTGGGCACCCACAAAGCAGCCCTTCTGCATCCAGCTCCTTCACAAGGCACAAATCTTCAATTCGTGGGCTTCTCTCTAATGGGGGATTTGTAGCACCGAGGTCAGACCCACCAGTGCCTCCTTTCCTGCCCACGGGGCACAGCTGGTGCACTGCCTGGCTTCCCTTTCAGCCCTGATGGACTCAGCTGGCTGTGATGGTGCATTCTCTCCTCTTTTTTTTTTTTTTTCCTCCTCCTTAATTGCAAATCTGAGTGCTCCTTAAGGAGCTCCCAGAAAAGGAAAAGGTTACCCTGGCCCCAGCCCCGTGGTGCCAAACAGTCTGGTCCAGCCTCAGTCCCAGCTCTGGGGGATACAGACGACCACAGGGCTCTAATCTCCCCGCTGCTGCCTGATAATCTGCTCTGCAATTTGCAGATAGGGCAGTGGAGGCTCCAGGAATGGGGCAAGGTCCCCTTTGTACATCTGGAGGATGTCCACATACATGTGGAGTTTGGGCTGGAGATGGAGCAATTAACACCATCCTTTCACCTTTCTGGGAGTGTTGGAGGAGCCCCAAAATAGAGGAGCCCTTAATCCAGAGACTTCTTAACCAGTTGGACCAATAGGGCCAAAAGGAGGACCATGTCATCATTGTGGGACACAGGGACATAACCACCCTACAAAGGAGTGGGGTGTCCCAGTGTGTCACCAACATGACAGGACAGCAGCACAGCTATTTGCTTTGGAAAGCTGAGATTTCTGCTCAGTTTTTTCCCTCCCCATCAGAAGGAAATGGGTTCAGAGAGCTGCGGGCAGGGGTGGGTCTGCCTGAAAACAACAACGGGGAAAAGAAACAAAAAGAGATATTTAGAAAAAGAATGCACATCTAGGATGGAAATCCCTGCAAACACTCCCTCTCGTGGAGGCTCGTCCCATTGCCCAGCCCTGTTACTTGGAGGCTTTAATGGCCAAACCACCCTCATTTCCTACTGAGGCACCAGGAAGGTACAGGACTGGGAAGTGAGAGACACCTGCATGTATTTACCCTGACCCATCCCTGCTGGGTGCCATTTCTCTTTTAAAGCCATTTGGGGGGGGGGGGGGGGGGTGTCCCCAAGCACTGACATCACCTGGGCCAGGGACAGTGGGAGGATTGCAGAGCTGAGTGGTGCTGCAGCTCGTTACTTCTCAGCCCAGGGATTTATTTCCCAAAAGTCTTTAACTGATTCCCCCAGCTGTATGGGATTTTGCACCGACAACACCTTTCTGCTGGGAACGGAGCCAGCATCCCCACAAGGTCATTTTGCAAAGACAATTAGGTGCTCCCCTGACAGCGCTGTCTCATTTTAATTAGATCTCATTTCCTAAGAATTACAGAGCATGCCAGGCCCAGGGCTGGAGGCAACGGCCATTTACCGAAATCAATGGGAGTTGAAGGACAGCTGTACCTGTGCTTATGTCACCGCTCACAGCGAAGCCGATTCGATGGGGAATAAAAACAGCCCTTCTGCATGACTTCATCCCTTAATACTCCAGGCGGTATAAAACCCAGCGTGCAGAAGGCAGAGCAGCCCCACCTCTGGCTGCTCACTCGCGCTTAACTGCCTCGGAGCGAGCATTCCCTGCTCCCCACGGCGGGATGGGCACAGCCAAACCCACAGCAAGAGGGCAGCGCGGCCGCTCGCGGTCCATCCGTCCGCCCCGTCGGGGAAGTCCCACCCAGCTGCCCTCCCCCTCTGATCTGCCCGCGGCGCGGAGCGACGGCACCACCTGGCGGCGGCGTGGGGCGGCCGGGACCTGTGGGAAAAAGTCTTTTTACCCACCTTTTCTTCCCTAAATCCCTTCCCTTTCCCCCTCCCCTCCTCCCCCACTTAAAAAAAAGAAAAAGTGTTTTTCCTCCTGCTCCCACCCCGCTGCCCCTTAGCGGTGCCCATGGCCGCTCAGAGAGGAGCGGTGAGACCTTTGTGCTGGCAGCCCCGTCCCGCCCCGTCGGATGCGCGGCTCCGGGCCGTCCTGGGAAAGGGCCGGGTGGGCGCCGCGGGGCTTCGGGCCCGGCTTTCTCCCAGCATCACCCATTGATACAGGCGACGGGAATAAACCGACAGCCTCCCCTTTCCCCTTTCCCACCCTATCCTTACAGTGAAGCCAATGCAACTCGTGCCTGCGGCTCGTAGGCAGCTCTAGGTCCAAATAAACAGCGCTCTTTCACAAATAACGTTCCTAATCCCCACCCCCCCCGACCCCCCACTCCTGACGGTGTCAACACTGACCAAAGCAACGCTGGGAACAGAGAGGGACAGACAGCCCGAAAGACAGCCCCCACACTCCCATCTCACAGCCAAACATCCCTGTACAAATCCAGGGTTCCCATTCCCCCACCACATCGCGGCTGAGCAGAGCGGAGGAAGAAGTGGTGAAGGAGAAAAAAGGGGGCTCGAGCAGCCAGTACTGACCTTCTCCAGAAAAAAAAAACAGCGGCAGCACAGAGCGAGCCGATGCCGGGTGCTGCCCCATATATCGCACACGGCCGCAGGTGCAGGGCCGAGGACTGCCGTCGGGGCGCGCCCTGCCTCGAGCACAGGTGCGCGGGTGCGCAGAGCCCTGCGCGGGTAATTGGGGCTGAGGGCGCGCAGTGGAGTCTCACGGAGGCTCCAGCGCTGCTCTTTGTGCCTCTCCCCGCCACCGGGGCCGACAGACAGAGCGGCGACCCCGCGGGTAATTGGGGCTGCGGGGCCGTGCGCGCAGCGGAGCGAGCGGAGCCTAATTGGGAGCTGGGGGGGGGTGGTGGGGGGCACTGCGCATTGTGGCTGCCGAGGGGCTGCGCGCCTGGCTGGCGGGCGCCGAGATGGCACAAAAAGACACCCCCACCCCCCGCATCGGGACAGAGCAATCCCTCGGTGCCGAGCATGGAGCTGCAGGGGCGGCCCGTGGAAGTGGTGAAATCCTATAAACCCCACAGGACAGTGACCAAAAGTGATGTTCCCCCTTTTTCTCCCAACTTGGCGGCACTGTGGGTGATGCCACTGTGTCCCCTCCAGCCACACAATGTGGATCTGATGCGTTGAGGAGTGTGATGGCACTGGGATAACACACACAGGGCAGCAGCACTATACTGGGTTTGTATCCCATTCCCAAATCCCTGCCCGGGTTTGGCCACTGGGCCTAAGAAACATGGCAAAGATGTGCCAGGCCACAGTGTTGGTGTGCACCTCAGCTGGCACCAAGGAAAACCCTCTGTGTCACAGCACAACCCTATTGCAGTGTGAGCCATGTGGATTCCTCACACCTGGGTTTGGCCATGGTGGGCACCTGGAGCAGCTCAACTCCTGCACACTCTGCTCCCACCTGCATGTAGAGCTGCAGACCGTCCCCACAGGTCACTGTCACCACCACTGCAGGGAGCATTCCCCCCCCCCCCCACCCCAATCAGTGAAATGCTATTTGATCCATTTAAACCCCTGTATCTCTCAAGGCAGACTGCCCCCAGGACAGTGAGACCCCAACGTGCATCCCCGCTAGAGCTCGTTAGATGCTCCTCGGGAGCTGGGTTTATTCGGAAATAATCCCACCAGCCCGCTTTTAGGGCCTCCCCTTCCCTCCCCTTGTTGAAGCAGTTCCCATTCTGTCTCACTCCACCCCTCTCCTGGCAGAAACAACCGCGGTGCTCAGCCGGGAGCAGCGCTCCTCTCCCGCCGTCGGGGAGCCCGGCCCAAACCCCTCCTTCCACCCCGACCCCCCCGGCACCCCGCAGCGCCGTTATGAGCCGGGCAGCGCCGGGGGGAGCGCCCCGACGGGGCCGGGCTGGGAGGAGAGCGGCGATACCGCCAGAGGGAGCCCCGCGCACGGCGCTGCGCAGTCCGTGTCCCTCCGCGGGCCGTAAATCTTCCCCGGCGCCGCAGAAGGGTAATTGGTGAGGAAAAGGGCCGCCGGGGCCGGGAGAGGGGGGGAGACCCGTGGAACCATCCCCGACTGCGCGGCGGTGCCGATGCCTTCCCGCAGCCCTTCCGCGGACCGGCAGCTCCGCGCTGCGCACCTGCGGCGGGGGCACGGCCCGAAACACCGAGCCGCATCCAGCGCTGTGTGCGCACGTCGGAGATTTCCGTCGGTAACAGCGGCGGCCGTCGGGGCGGGTAGGGACCGCGGTGCCGTGCTGGAGCTCGGGGGAGCTGCGGGAACCGAGCGCTGCGCACCTGCGGACGGGGCGGCCCCGACGGGGCGGTCCGGCTCTGGTCGTGCTCCCACCGCAGCGCCAGGAATGAATCAGGCAGGAGCCGGCTGCGCTCCGGGTATTTTTTTTTTTTTACTGAAAGACGCGAGAGAAGTCATGGGAACCCAACAGAGAGACGCCCGAACAACCAGCACGTTTCAAATCATTGTATCTTTTTATTTTAAAACAAATATAGAGCACAGTCCTGTGATATTTAGATTTATTATACTTCTTTTATTGTTGTTGTTTCGCTTTGTTCTGGAGTGAAAAATAAAAACCTGAGGTTTATTCCTGCATTCTGCATACCCCGCTCTGGAGAGACATTTTCCTACATTTTGGATTCAATTTCTTATTATTATAATTATTATTTCCTTGCAAAAGTCCATTAAAGAATTGAACTCTTTGTTCCAACGACTCCAAACATTGTGGTACCGGTGGCACTGATTGTCCTGAAGAGCAGGTGGGATAAACAATATTTTAAACACAGTTAAAGAAACCAATATCTCCTTCAATCACAAAGAGCTAAATAGTTTTCATTTACAATATATATGTTCATGTAAAATGAAAAAAAAAAAAAAAAAAAAAACCAACGAAAAACTTAAATGCGATGAGTTAAACTCTAAATATTATGTACACACCAATGTACAACTCTGAATAAATTAATACCAATTTGCATATTCTGGGATCCTTATAGCTTATTTACACAAATTACCATTTATTTCATAAATACCTGCCCTGCCGCTCGCTCCCTGCGTGGCGGTGGCAGCGCAGCTCCTTTCCATGCTTCGCTTCTTCTTTTCCTTTGTGTTTAGTTTTTCCCCCCTCCCTTCCCCCCCCTCCCCTCCCACTGCCACCCTTTGCACGGAGCTCTCAGCCCCACCGCCCTCCCCGTCCGACAATAGGGCAGCCCCATGCCCCGAGGCAGGGAGCAGGGATGGGGGGTGGCACTCGGGGTGGGGGGCGGCTATACGGAGAGCCCCCTCCCCATCCGCCCCCACCTTTAATAAATATTTATACTGTGCTGTACAAAAGACCAGTGCTTCTCAGCCCCGGGGGGGAGGAGGTGGGTGCGCTGCCTGCCCCCCCCGTCGGTCACTTGGGGGACTCCCTGCCGGGCGACAGCTCCCGCTGGCTCTCCAGCCCGCTCACCAGTCTCTGGATGTTCTGCAGTTCGTTGAGGGATTCCTTCAGGGAACCTTTGGGGGGGGAGACGGCGGGGCGCTGGGCTTTGTGCGCGTCGGGGATGGGGCTGGGCTCACGGCTGCTGCCCGCCTTGGAGCTCTCAGAGCCGGGGTTGAGGCTGGAGGGGAGGCCGGTGGTGAGCAGGTTGGTGCTGGGCGGGATGCTGACAGGGAGCTGGTAGGGGCTGAAGCGCAGGCGAGGGCGGCTGCTGCCCAGGAAGGGATTGCGGGACAGCGGCCCGGCGGCGGCGGCTGCGCTGGTGGCCGGCATGGCTGAGGCGGCTGCTGCTGCTGCTGCCATATAGGTGTAGGGGTAGGGGAAGAGGCCGCCGAAAGTGGGCATCGGGATTCCCTGCAGAGAGAGGAGAGATGGGAGAGGTGAGAGCTGCACGGTTCCTGCCCCGTGGAAAAGGAGAAGTAATGCGAACACAGCGTGGGGTGACACTGCTGCTGGGTGGGTACGGCTGGGGACCCCCATCAGCCAACTGAGCACAAGCTGTCAGGCATGGGGCTCTCTCCAGGACTTGCTGGAGGCACAGCACTGTAGGGCAGCAATAGGGCCTGGTCCCTATGAGAGCTCGGTATGCCTGGCTGCACGATATCACTGAACCCAGATTGCATTAAAACCCATTGACGGGTCATATCAAGAAAGGAGGTGAGTTCAAGGTATCTTCGTGCATTTCAGCACAGAGACACAACAGAGGTGTTGGTATTGTGGGGCTGGTGGGGATCTTGAGAGGTGCTGGATGGGTCAGCAGGCAGGGCTCTTCACGCTGCCCTGCCCATGGTGGAACTACAGATAAATCAGAAATCCTCTTTAAATCAGCTCTGGGACCTCCATTCCAAGCATCCCCCCACATTCTCCCCATGTCACAACACAAGAAGTGTCACTGATTGTCCCCATGGGCTGGGGAAGGCCCCACGAGAGCCACGCTGGGGCCACTCCATGTCTGCCCCCCCACCAGGGGTAACACTGGGTCTGTGCCCCAATGTGCTTGGTTGATTTCAGGGATTTTGAGGAAAAATGCAGGAGGGCTCCAGCACTGTGGGGATGGGGATAGGGCTGTGGGTGGATGCTTACCTGAGAAGCCAGCATGTGCTGGGAGAGGTGGAATGGGAAGGGGGTGGCCGTCCCCGCTGCGCCCGGGGCAGATGAGAGAGCCCCGTTCTCCAGGCTGCCGCCGCCGGTCACCGAGGCCAGCAAATGTCCCATGCCCATAGCGGAGAAAGCCCCGGGGGCCATGGCAAACTGTCCCGGGTGGATGAAGAGTGGCTGCCCGGCACCCAGCGGGCTGAAGAACTGCTGCCCGTGGAGCCCAGAGAGCGCGAGGCTCTGCAGGTGCCCGGCGCTCAGGTGCGGGGGGCTGTCCGTGTGCACCATCAGCGGGGCGAAGGCCTCCTTGCCCAGCCCGACTCCCTCTGCGTCCTTCTTGCCCTGCTCCGGCTCTTTCCTTCTCCCTTCCACTTTGTCCTTCTCCATGCCCCGTGCTCCAAACAGACCCTCACCGGGGCCGTCCCCCTGGGATGCTCCATCCTTGGCTTTCTCTGGGCTGCGCCTCTCCTTGCCCCGCTCGTCGGTGCACCGTGGGCTGCCGCGGGGTGATGTGTCCTCCCCACCGGGGCTGCCGCCCGCTGGCCGCTCCTCGGGCACCTTCTCCACCTCCGCGTCGCTGTCAGCCCCCGGCTTCTCCTCTGCAAAGGGATGGAGAGGTCAGAGAGGCAACGAGAGGGTCAACAGATCTCGCCACGGGGAAATGTGGCAGAGGTAAAACGCTGTCACTATTAGCAGGAGAGCTTGGTTAAATGGGAAGGAGGAAATCACAGACTCATGGAATCGTAGTATCTCATCTGTGAAGGGATGGAGAGATCAGAGAGTCTGCAGTTGATTGTCCCCAAGTTAGGGAAATCCAGCAGAGGTAAAGCCCCATCGCAATTAAAAGGAGAACTTTGTTAAATGAGAAAGTAGAAATTATGGAATCGTGGAATGATTGGAGTTGGAAGGGACCAAATGGGTTCTTGTGCCGCGGTCATCATGGGGGCTGCAGGGATTAACAGCAGCAGCCCCATTGCTCTGCCAAACAGGAAAAACACGTTTGCAGGAGGCCTGAGCTGCGAGCCGGCATCACTGTCATCAGCTGTGAACCCAAAGAGGGTGGTGGGGTGAGAGATGGGGAGCATGAGGGCGGCGGGCTGAGGAGTAGCTCTGTATAGATTTAATTATGCCAGGCTGATCAGCTGTGCTCTGTGGATGCACTCCGAATGCACAGGTTGGGTCGGGCAAAGGAGGGAGATTTAGGGGAAAGATTCACCGCCATCTTTGATACAGGGAATTTTAATTTAACTTAATGTAAATGAAGGGCTTTGAGCTCTCAGAGGAAGGGGGAATTGAGGTGAGGAGATGGCGATGGGCATGGGGTGGTGGGAGACTCGTGGTGCCCCTCCAGCACAACCGAAACCCCGGTGCCGATGGATTGAGGCCAGGGAAAACCGACAGAGAACCCTTTGAAAGAAGAGAGGGTGTCATAAACCCTCCCAGCAGCTCAGCCCAGGGCAGGAGCTGCGGTTTTGATGAAGGTTTGCAGGGAATCAGGATGGTGGGAACTTGAAAGAGCAACGGATGGGCAGTGCTGTGCAACAAAGTCCTGCATCAAAAAACCACAACATGGGAACTGCTGGCTTATTTTCATTGCCCGGCTCTGAGTGTTGCAGTGTTATTTGCCCTTTTAAATGTATTAATTTTCGGGGGGGGAGGGGAGCCTTGCACTGGCTATGAAAGGCAGAGCGACGCCAGACAGCTGCGCAGCACAGGGCCTGCCCACCAATGCTCCCTGTTTACATCGATGTATAAACAGGAAAATGTTGCAAACCATGAATGCCATTTGCATCTGCTGGGGCCGTTCCCGTCCTCGCAGCCCTTCATCCCCTCTGTGCCCATCCACTGCCTTTCCCTGCCAGCGCTGCAAACGCTGCCGGCTGCCGCCGCAACAGCAGAGGTGTTTTGGTCCCCTCCCCACTAACAGCAGACATCAAGAACGCTCTGAACACGGTGATAATTCGGGAGCTGTGCCCCCGCTCCCAGCCGATCCTCCCCACCCCATGCAGGAGCCGTCAGGGCAGGGAGTGGGGCCGTGGTTTGGGCTCAGCCCCGACGGTGCGGGCAAAACAATGAGGGGGGAGCGGGGCCGCGTTACCTCTGCCGCTGGCCTTCAGGCGCAGGGGGCTGGGGAGGGGGCCCACGGGGGAGTGCAGTGCGTCGCGCACAGCCGATGGTTCGCAGGAGGACGCGTCCGATTCGCCGCCGTCTCGGTCGGGTTTGCAGGGCTCCTCGTACATCCGCAGCGACGGCAGCGAGAGCTGCTTCCTGCGCAAGGGGGAGACGCGGCTCAGCCCTCCGCGGGGATCTCCGCGGGCGCGGAGCGGGGCGCGGGGCCGCCCTTACCTCTTCTCCCGACGGCCGTTGCCCGTGTCCCGAAAGCCTTTGGCGAAGGGGTTGTTATCGATTTTCAGCTGCGTGATCTGCGGGGACGCGGAGAGAAGCGACTGACGCCTTGCCCGCTCTCCCCGCACCCCTCCCCCTCCGGCGCCCCCTGCCCGCCCCCGCGGTGCCCTCAGGCCCGTCCGTCCCTTCGGGGCCGTCGGGGGGTCGCGGCCGGGCGGGGATGCACGGCGCACGTTGCAAAACGCGCCGCGTCCCCGCTTTAACACAGCACATGCTTTATTAAAAATGATGCTGAGGTTTCGCCTGAATTATTAATAGCGTCTTAATGATAGGAAGTTATTTTTCACGGCCCCCCGGAGGGAAGATGGCGACTGAGCCCGCGCCGCGCTGGTTAAAAGCTATTCTTATCCCTCCCCGCGACGGACTGCTGGGGCCGGCGACATTAGGACGCTCAATAATGCATGGCTCTGAAACACGGCCCCGAGAGGGACGCTTTAAAAATGCATGGCCCGGCCCGACGGGGCCCCCGACCGCCCGACGGAGCCCACCGGCAGGCAGCGTGCGGCGGGCGGGCAGACAGAGTGCTCGTTAATCGATTGTGACTCTTCGTCATAAACTTTACGAGGGAAACAAGCCCACCAGGACCCTCAGACAGAGCTGTCAATTAGCATCAGCAGCCGAGGGGGGGGGGGAGGTGGGGGTCAGCTTTTGGGTTAAGGCACACACGCGGGCATGGAGCCCTCGGAGGGGCCGCGCCCCCCCACGGCTCAATGGGTGACAATTGCTAAATCACAGAAAGTGACTGAAATGGGCTTCTCTAGCTCTGATTTTTTGGCTCTTCCGTGGCACCTGCAAGAGGTCACCCGTGCCAGGAAGGTGCTTCTGAGGGGGAAATTAATTTTAGGAATGGTTACAGCAGTAATAATAACAGTAACATGGAGAGTGCCTGCTTTGAGGGTCTGGGCTCCAACCATTCTCCTGTTGCTGCCTTTTTGCCTCTCTGCCCAAAACGTTCCATGTCAGCAGCCACTGGGGTTGGGCAGCATCGTGAAAACAGACCCAAAAAGGGGCAGGGGATGGGGGTGCAGGAGCTCGGGTTGGTGCATGGGGCTGGGGGTCAGTACAGGGGCTGGGGTCGGGTGCTGCCGGCCCTACCTTGTCGTTCTGGTAGGCGGTGACGGCGATGAAGTCGGTCTCGGGGAACACGTAGGTGCGGAAGGTGCTGTAGGGCAGCTTGAGGATGTCGTTGGCCCTCACGATGTGGAAGCGGGGTTGGTATTTGTGCATGGAGTTCAGAATGGTCTGTGGTGGAGGGGGGAGAGAGAGCAGAGCCTGCGTTCAGCCCCACCGCCATCACCTCCCTGCAAAACCCTTCATTTCTCCTCAGAAAACAATAAAATGAAATAAAAAGAAACAACCAGATTCATTGCGAAGAGAGAACAGCAGCAGCTGCCAGAGAGGGAGATCTCTTTTTTCGTCGGTGCCATGGCCCTATCTGCCCCCAGAGAAGGAGGTCAGGGGGAAGGCACAGCAAGAAAGCAGCACCCAGGATCCCCCCGATTTCTCACCGCCCTGACAACGCCAGGTGAATTTGCCACGCATTTTCAGCCACTTTTAATATTTCCGTCCTTTTTTTTTTTTTTTTTTCCCTTTAAAAAAAATAAAAATAAAAAACCCTTCTACCAAAAATCCTCCACCAAAAAAAAAAAAAAAACCCCACAAAAAACAAAAAACCAAACGAAGCGCAGAGCTCCGCGCAACACAACGCGCGGCTGAGCGGCGCCGGGAGCGGTGGGACGTTTTTCCCGTCCAGGTATCCAAACCCCTCTCCCACCCCCAAGCAACCTTTCCGTATTTAACACAAATCAACGCCGTTCTCGGTCCCCGGGGCCGTTCCCAGCGCTGTCCCCTCGGCGTTTCCCTCTGAGAAACGCACCGATAAATCCCGACGTGCGGAGTTCGGGCCGCAGCGCGGCTCTCCCCGCTCCGCTTCGGCTGGGGAAGGGCGAAATCTGCTGTGATTGTTGTCCGAAACCGCCGAATAATTATCACTTCATTTCGTTTTAGAAGGCAATAAAATAATAATAATAATAATAATCCCCCTTTTTTAACCCCGGCAATAATCACCTGCTGATGGGCTGTCGGGTCTCCAGGACACCGATATCATCTAGGCGGGATTTAGCGTGAAAATGGTGCACAAACGCCTCGATCGGGCGCTCAGAGCCGCGGTCCTTTACCCAAACCTCCTCCCACCCTGAGCAGATGGGCACTGCCTGCACCCGCAGCTCGGACGGCGCTGAAATGCTTTCCAGCGGGAGTCGGACCGAGCGCTGAACCGAACAGATTTTTCCCCACGAACCAAATAAATAATAATAACAAAAAAAGAGATTTCCGAGCCTCTCTATCGATTCCCTTCGCTGCCTCTAAATAGCCGTGCGGTGTTTGATTTATCCAACACACCGTTTCCTCTCTAAATCGTACGAAAAAATCAGAAAGAGAGAAAAGTTTCCCCGGGCCGCTGACCCCGACGGTCGCTTCCGAGGGTTCTGTGCCGCCGACCCCATTTGAGCTCCGGGCTCGGCCCCATTGCCCCCCAGCTCACCCCGACGCCCGCTGGCATTTTTCCCCACAGGATCGCGTTGTAGTCCCTCTTTCTGCGCTCCTCTGAAGACTACTAGCTTCGATTGCTGCATTTCTTTCCTTTTCTCCCTCTCTCTCTTTTTAAAATTATTATTATTATTATTATTTTGCTTTGGTGGGTTATTTTAATCTTTCTTTCTTTCTATTTTTTTTTTTCCCCTCCGGAAGGTGATGCAGTTGTGATCAATAAGGAAATAGAAGCGTTCGGGAGCCTTCCAGGCACAGCCGGTATGGAGCGGCCGCAGCCAACCCCTTTGGCTCAGCTCCCACCTCGCAAACCCCGCGCAGGTGACGCCTCCAGCCCCGACCCGGACCGAGGGGAGTCCCGGGCCGTACCTGCCCGGTTACACTGCCACAGCCCGGCCGCACCGTCGGAGTTGCCCCCGCCGCTTCCCCGGCCGGCCTCCCCCGGCTCGGCCCCGTTATCCTCCGGAGAGGAGCGGGGACGGAGCCCGGGAGGGGGCCGCTAAATCCCGGCCGCTGCCCCCGGGAGGACCCGGGCCGTCCTGCCTCGCGGTCACACTTACAAAGCCGTGTTTGTCCGAGATGTTGTTGGTGAGCTTGAGTTTGTGAAAGGCAACGGGTTTGGCCATCCACTGCTCCCCGGTGGCCGGGCTGTCGGGGTGGATGTACATGCGTTTGGGCATCTCCGGGTCGGCCTTTCCGGCCACCATCCAGCGGGAGTTGTGGAATTTGTACCGGCAGTCGTCGGCCGCAACTATATCCATGAGCAAAATGTATTTGGCCTTCTTGTCCAGGCCGCTCACCCGCACCTTGAACGGGGGGAACATCCTCCTGCGGAGAGACGCGCAGCGCTGCAGGGAGCGACCCTCGACGGCCGCAGCCCCCCCCGGCCCAGCCCCGGCCTGAGGGGTGCCCAGCGCTTGGGTAAAAAGCTCCGAGTCCCATTGAGGGATGAAGGGGCAGAGAGGAAAACGCGAATCATTTTTTCACTGCGCTTCTTTAGGGTCCCCCTCCCGGAACCGGGGCAGGGGGAAAATTTGTCAGTGAGGGGCTGCAAAGAGGGATGTAAATAAATACGACGGCACTCAATGAGTTCGCGCAGATTTAATTTGGGATCGCGCATAATTATGGGGAGAGGGGACGAAGGGGGGGTTGGGGGGGGAGCGAAATACGTTTAAAAAAATCCCGGTTCTTACCTCCCGGATTTGGTGATCACCATCTCGGTGCCCAGCTTGTGGAATTGGTCCCAAAGCTCTTTGGCTTCCAGCGTCACTTTGGGGTCGTCCTCCACCTCCTCCTCGGGTTCCAGGCTCTTGAGGGAGCGCAGATGGGCTGCCTGGTGGTGGTGGCCCAGAGCCGAGACGTGCAGCCCAGCCTCGGCCGCCCCGGCCAGCCCCGGGTCCGGCATGGGCTTGGCCAGAGCCGCCGGGGGCAGAGCCAGAGCGGGGAAAAAGGAGGGCTGAGCGGCGGCGAGAAAAGCGGACATGGGGAAGTCGGCCGGCCGGGGAGCGTGGAAGGGGTGGTAAGCCATGGCAGTCCCTGGGAAGGCTGGATCTCTCATCGGTGCATCCACAAATCCAGGAGAAAAAGAGGGATTCCCTTTTGTTAAAAAAAAAAAAAGAAAAGAAAACAAACAAACAAACAAAAAAACCAAAAAGCAACAATAACAGCAATAATAATAAAAAATAGGTGTGCGGTTCGGCTTGTTTGTTTTTTTTTTATTTTTTCTCCTCTCTCCTGCCCAGCGAATTCGCACTGGAAGAGGAAGGGAAATCGACAATAAAAATTAATTAAAAAAAAACAAAAACAAAAACAAAAAAACACCCACAAACCCAACGACGCACAAAAGGAGAGGAAAAAAAAAAAAAAAAAAAAAAAAAAAAAAGTGAAAAAGAGCGGAATAAGATGTGCGGAAAAAAAAAAAAAATTAAAAAAAAAATTAAAACCAGAATTAAAAAAATAATAATAATAAAGGCAGTTCCCGGCTCCTGGGACTCCCGTTCTGCGGAGGGCAGAGAGTACGTCCTTCTTTTTTTGTTGTTGTTGTTGCGGCGAAGGGAGAAGCGAGCGGGGGCGAAACCCTCCCGGAGAAATCCTTCCCGGCACTGAAGCGGCGCCGGAGCGGAGCGGCGGTCGGGCCGTACGGCTCACACCCCCGCGGGCTCCGACTGCGCCCCGGAGGGCTCCGCACCGCTGCGCGCTCCGCGGTTCGGCCGAGCGCCGCTCATGGCTCGAGGAGCCGGAGTGGGGAACGGTCGGATCTTGTCGTGATCTCTGTAAAACTGTGACTATCTCACATGTCCTTCCTGCTCTGATCCGCCCGCTAATGAGCCAAGCCCCCTTGATTGCTGATTTTACGCGTTTCAGACCAATTGTGGATCTGCATAGGCGTGGTTTTGACAGCTCCGGCCAAGCTCCGGGCGCGGGGAGGAGGGGAGGGGGGGGAGGGAGGGAGGACGGGAAGAAGGGAAAAAAAAAAAAAGAGAGAGAGAGAGAGGAAAAAAAAAAAAGAAGAAGGTGTCGGAAGCATCGGCAGTAAGAAAACATGTCAACAGAATAAAATATTAACCAATGACAGAGAAAAGTGCTCGAAATCCCACCCCCGGCTCCTTTCCGCATACCGGGTCAGCCCTGGCTGCGCCGCGGCCGGGGAGCGGCCACCGCCGGTGCGGGGACAGCGCGGAGCCGGGGCCAGACCGGGGGTGCGGGGAGCGCGGGGCCGCTCGGAGCCGGGGGGCGTCCGGGGGGGCGGGAAGGGGGGGGGAGAGGCGGGGGCCGTCCCGTCGGTTTCCGCGGGCGGGGGCGTAAGGCCGGGGGGAGCGGCCGGGGGAACTCGGCGGCCGCCGTCTTACGACAGATCCTGGAAAGAGGATCAAGGTGGGACCCGCCCCGCCGCGCACCGCCGGCAACCGACGGGGCGGCCCGGGCTCGGCCGCCGGGAGCACGGCGGAGAGCTGCAGGCGGTGAGGCCGGAGCGGCGAGCTCCATCCAGCGCGGGTGAGTGGAGGAGACCCGCGCCCTGCCCTCGCTCCCGGCCCCGCGAGGCCGCTCCGACTGGGGGGGTCCCGCTGGGAGCTCCGCGCGGACCCCGCCTTCGGGGCGCCCCGCGAGGTGCCCTCCCGTCGGGGCCGCGCTGCTCTGCCCGGCCCGAGGGGCTGTTTACCCGGGCGGGGGGAGGCAGATAAGGCGGAGGGGAAATGCCGGGGCTGTTTGCTGAGGGATTAGGGCCGGTCCCGCCGCGCCGGGGCCCGGGATGGGAGGGGGGGGAGGCGGCGGGCGCGGTGGGTGTCCCCGCGGAGAGGTCCGTTTGGAGATCTGCGCTGATTAACTGAGGGCTGCGGTGGCTGAAGAGGGCCCTGGCGCCAGGCGGCTGAGCCCTCACAATAAAGACCCGTCTCTTGTCACTTCATATTTACCCCCAAATCTTCAAAAAGCGCCCTGCGATCCTTAGAAGGCTCCTGCGCCTGCCGCCTGCGCTGCGGCCAGACGGGACGTTGACGGGAGGGGGAGCGGAGGCGGCCCCCTCCTCTGCCCAAGGCTCCGCGGGTGCGCAACGACGCGCTGCTTTCCTGGGGCCGCTCCCGGCGGAGGGTGGGACGCGGGGACCCCCGGCAGCCCTCTCCCCATCGCCACCTCTCCGCTGTTTCTCCTCACACCGTGTTTTATCGTGCTGCCAGCAAACCCCGGTGCTGCGAAGGGCCCGAGGAGAAACCCCAGAGGCGGCCGCATCCCGCCCCATCCCGCGGCAGGTTCACCTCCAGCCGCCGCCTCCCGACGGGGCGACCGCAGCGCGGCCACAGCGGGGCTGCCCTCACGGCTCCCGGCCACTGCGTGGGGCTGGTGGGCGGGTGGGGAGGGGGGTGGATCGGTCCCACTGACCATTGAACGGGGCGAGGTGGCGAGCGGGGATTGAAATTTAGACCTCATTTGGACTTTGCTTCCACGACACCGCGGAAATGTGCTGACAGCAGCTTTGGCAAAAATGGGGCTTGCTCGGGCTTTTTTTTTTTTTTTTCCATTTTTCCCCCCCCTCCAAGCACGCCCGGATCCTCGCGTTGCCCCACGGCTGCATCATCCTGCTCCAGGGCACTACGCAAACCTGCGGACGCCGCACCCGCAGCTCCGAGGGGCAGAGCGGGGCCCCGCAAAGAAACGTCGCCTTCCCCCGGGCCCAGGTTCTGGGACCCCCTTCCCCCTCGGCAAAGCTGTAACATCGCAAACGCCCTCGCCTGCAGAATAAAAACCGATCCAGAGCCTCCTCGTCTCCCCGAGCCTCTGTGGCAGCGCCCGTCGGTGGGACAGCCGAGGTGGGGCACACGGGGATGCTGCGCATCAGTTCCCAGGGGCAGCTCCGTTCGTGAAACCGCAATCGGGAGCCCGTGTTCGTGGACGGGGCGGGAACAGCCGGACCCCGAGACACGCTTCTCGGCCACAGCCGGGCAATGGGCAGGGGGAGTCGCTGCTTCGAGCCCCGCCCGAACCCCTGGGCCCTTTCTCAAGTGAGGGGGGAGAAGGGACCCCGCGCCATCTCGCTCACAGTGCCTCCCGTCTCCGGGCACTGCTTCCTTCGGGGCTCCGTGCGCGGCCCCGACGGCGCTCCCCAGACTCGGAGGCATCATCTGGGCTCCTCCGGGGAACCACTCCAGAGATCAGCTCCGAGGAACGGGCCCGGTCCGGCCGCCCAAGCGCTGCGGCCCCGCTCCCTCTTCCCTTTCATCTCTGCCCATCTCCACTCATCATCTCTTTTCTATTTTTAGCCGGTAGACTTAGGCCTTGGCGCCAGGCCGTTTAAGACCTGTCAAAGTCCTTCATATTTCCCTCATGTCACATGGACCTTTCGCTCCCTTCCCCGCGCCATGCGAGGGCCGTAATTTGGATCTGTGAGCTGGTGAGCAAATGCAATTTGCTCTTCTCCATCGCTGCGTTGTCTCCGTGACCCCAGCCAGCAGGACGGCTGGTGTCCTGTCCGGGGCACTTACACAAATTGCGGCTGATTGATGAAAAATAACAATTCTCCCAAGCAATCGAGCCTCCGTCTTCCCCTCCTCCCTGCTCCTCCGGGCTGAGGCGGCTCCGTGCCCCGGGGCTCTCCTCCCGACCGTGCAGGGCCGCCCCACGAACCGCCGCCGGCCGCCTCTGGAACGGCTCTCGGATTGAGGCAAAAAAGGGTTTTCTCGTACTGGGAGTGAGCCTTCGGGGTCCGCTTCTCGGCAGAGATGAGGGGTGCTGTATTCCTGGGCCCTAAAACGGGGCCGGACAGCTGCGGCCGTTGTGCACTTTCCATTGGAGGGAAAAAGCCGGGCCGGGAAAGAGCCGGACCCGCTGTGGGGGGGTTCCTCAGCCCGGTGGGGCCGCCGAGGATCGGGCGGAGCGGCTGTTCGTTACCGGACGTGGGGCACCAGACACCTCTGCTTGCACAGTACAGAGCAATTCCGCAGGTGCGGGCTGGGAGCTCGTGGAAAGAGCCTTTCGCCATGGGAGGAGCGGTCCCGAAGCTCTCTGCCACGTTTCTCCCTCTCCACCTGCAGAAGGGACGCGGGGGAATGTCCCTGCCCCGCGCTCAGGTGCCCGTCGAGGGGCGGTGGCGGCCTCACAGGTGGGGCGGGGAGGGACCCAGATCTCGCCCCATCCCGGGCCCCGGGGATGCGCGTTACGGATAGTGATGCCCGGCCCCAGCCACGACACCTCCTCCCTCTGTGCGCCCCGTCCGCGCGGGGAGAACCCCGGCACCCCCTAAGCTCCCCCCCTCCTCAGCCTGTTTAGATTTCTCTCCGAATGTTTCCCGTAATCCTGATTTCTGGAAAATAACCACACTCGGGGCAGACGCGGCCACGAACGCCGCTGAAGTTTATCCGGAGTTTGACCAACATATAAACATATTTCCAGCCCGTTCGGCTGGGCTGGCGCTGAGTGACCCCTGCCCGGCACCGGGGCTGCACCGCGCTCCGCCCTCGTTACCTCCGCGCCGCTTTGATCCGGAGCCCTCCGAGCTCCGCCGCTTGATTGAGTTTTTGCAATTAAGGGGGGGGGGGGGAGGTGGCGGCCGTAACCCCGCACACGTCGGGACTGCGCACGTCGGGGCGCGGCGCCTTGGCCGTTCCGAGCCCGTTCCCTTAAAAGGCGACGGGAGGCCCGCGCGGCGCGGGGGGGTGGGGGGTGGGGGGGGGGAGAAAAGCGGCGTGAAACCCGAGCGGCGCTGCGGGGGGCGGGCGGCGGCGCGGGGCGGGGCGGGGGGAGGTGGGGAGGATCATGCAAATCCCTCTGTTTAAAAAACTTCCATTTGAGAAAGTGTGTCACATCCCAGCGCGGGCGTGTAATCCCCTGGCTAATGGTATTACCGCCGCCTCATCGGCGTAATGGGATGGGGCCGGGGGCGAGCATCCCCCAGACCCTCCGCCACGCGTGACCGCAGCCCCATAACGTCTGCCCTGTCGGGGCCCCGCTGCCCTACCTCCCACCCCCCCGCCCTCCCTCCCAGGCCCCGCGGTGTCCGTAGGTGAGCAGAGCCCCGGTTTTGGCCAGGGGTTCCCGGAATGAAACCGACTCTAAAAGGGGAAATCGGGAGCTACGCTTCGTGGTCTGTTCATCTCTTAAATAAAAGAGATTAGCGAGCGCCGTTATTTGATAAAATAATGCTGTTATGGCCGCCACCCCCTTACCCTGCAGTATTAAAAGTGAGGATTTGAGGCTGTCCAACAGTCTGACCTGGATCTCTGTGAGAACAGCCCCAGGATAGGCTGAAAGGAACCAAAAAAGCAGCAAAACTGGGAGATGTGGGCAAAGGGGCAGCAATGTACATCAGATGGGACCTGAGGTTGGGAAGCGGTGGGCAAAGGGAGAGTCATGGCACTCCTGGCAGATGAGCTGGCCCTGACCCTGGCCCCTCTACAGGGCACGGACCTTTCAAACCCCAAAATATTTGGGGTTAGAGTTGCTGCACCCGAGTGCAGCGCTCCTGGGCTCACACCTCGGGCCCTTCTGCTTCAAAGGAGATTCGGGAATGCATTTGGTATGGAGCTGAACCAGGAGCCAGCACCACTGCTCTCCTACCACGTTGGTGTTTGTTTGTTTTCTTTTGCTCTCCGTCAGCTTTAGGGCTGCAGAACAGCACTGACCTGGGTTTGCAGGAGGGGACTGAGGAAACAAAGGCAGCCCAGACAAATCCCCGAGGCAGTGCCAGTGCTCAGTGCTGCACCTGTCCTCACGCTGCTCTCTGTTACTGGGACCCAAAACTGCGTGGACAACCGTCCATCATCGCTCTGATTCACATCTCCAGAGAGCAGCGCTGCCCTGAGCCGCTCTGCATTTCCCCTCCATGCTGAAACCCTTTTCTCGATCCCTCTGTCCTCCCCATTTGCCATCCTTCCAATCTCACCTTAAGAACAGTCCCTCCACCCTGACATTGGGATCCCCCACTCGCTCACTCTGCCCTCCACACAAGGGCTGTGTGTGCTGGCACCCTCCTGGCACTGGGATGCGTTTGGCACCGGCTCCATCTTACGGCCCTATAATAATATTGTAAATCCTCACCGGGAAGTAATTACACCCCATAAAAGGAGCAGCAGCCTGTGGTCGGAGCCAGGGCCGCTCCGTGACACCCATATTAAAGAGATGCTTTGTGCCTTGTTTATAGATTAGATTTTAACCTGACAACCTTTTAACATTGTATTAAATTAGAAATTAACTCCGTCTGACTGCTCACCGTGTAATTGACCCATGGAGGGGCTGAGCATGGGGGAATACTGAAGACACCTTTCAGACAGCAAAGTTTCCAAGGAAATTTTGAGCCTTCTCCTTGGTGGAGGGCAGGGCTTCGCTATTAATTAGTATGTGTGGTCAGGTGGTGGGTTGGGCATGGAGGAGGGGCTGTGGGGACGTGGTGGCAGGAGGAGATGGGGACAGGGACAGTCCCCATGGGCACAGCGTGGCCGTGCTGTGGCACCCGGCTCATGCAGGACACTGCCAGACAAAAGGAAGCTGAAATCCAGAGCTGAAATCCCCAGGAGTCAGAGCTGGGATCAGCCCTGGCAGCAGTGGTGACCCACAGGGACAGGCAGGCACCGGCTCTGCCACTGCCATGGTGACTCCATCCCCTCTGAATCGCATCCTCTGCTTTCATGGGGTAAAGGCACTCCTGGTGTAAGTGAGACCTGCTCCAGAAATGTTCACGAGGGGAGAACACAGCAGGAACACTGCTGTCCGACAGAGGAGATGAGGATGCTGCAGCGCAAGCCTCAGCTTACACTTGTGTTCAATCAGGAACAGCACACGGTTCAATAGACCCCATTTTCAGAAGGCTTATGGCCTGTCCACAAACAGCTCTGCTTAAACCTGGCCACCAGCTCTGCCAAAGCCCGGCCCTGTGCTCATGCACATGGTGTTGTTTGCATGGGAACGGGGCAGTACTGCAGGACAGCTGGGCAGCATGGGGACAGTGGGGCTGAGCTGCCCTCCTCCACCCGCAGTGCTACCCTTCACCCCACACCCCATGTTCTGGACTGATTGATGCCTCTGGGAGCGCTTTCTGGCATCCCTTGGAATGCAACACCTCTCCTGGTCCTGTACAGGACAGCAGTGCCAGTGCTGGGCAGGAGGCAGGGAGAGCCGGGGCAGGGCCGGTTCGGTTATTTCTCCCCAGCACATCAACCACTTATTGTGTTAAAAACACCCCTCACTTCCAGCCCTTCTGTTCCCTGATTTCCCCCCTTCTCCCCCTTCCCCATTTAAATTGGAAAAAAAAAAAAACCAAACCCCAAAAAGTTTTGTTTTCTCCTTTTGCAATCACAAAGAAGCTCTCGGCCCCCATTGAGCCGCTAATTGCGAGCGTCCAAATGGCCGGGTTTAAAGTTACGCTTCGCAGCTGCGAAACATTAAGGCGAAGTGATTACAACCTACTGCAGGATACCGAACATTTTTACAATATCTCAGGAGCAGAAGAGAAAGACAACAGGAAATGGCGCAAACGTTCCTACCCTGAGCAGCAACCGGCCAAGGAAAGCAGCAAGGAACGCGGACAGCGCTCGGATCCTCCGAAACGGAGAGATGGAGCCCTGTGAGAAGGGCTGCTGCTTCCATGTGAAGCGTGCGGTTCGTGTGTGCTCGATGTAGTGAGAGGGCCGGGAGGAGAAAGCAATAATTCACATTAATTCCTGAAACCCGAACTCAACTTTTAATAGAAGAGCTCCACTTTGTGCGCAGTGATATACAGTCTGCCCTGCTCCGAATGAGACGTTTTGCCTTTTGAACTCAGCAGGAGGCCGCTGCTCACCACTACTGGAAGCGGTTTCAGACCTCGCAGCCCCTCCTGTGTTGTGGGGTCCTTGCGAGGCAGTGTTTTCCATCAGGGCGCAGCAATGGCACTGCAGACCCTCACCCACACGGCCACCACTGCTGTGGGACGCACTCAGCTGAAGCCCTGCGTGCCTCTCACCGAGCTCTGCATCGTGTCTGCAAGCTGAAAACCATCAATAGGAACTGGGGTGGAGGTCTCTCAGATCACAGCCTCACCCGGAGCCAGCTGCTCCCAGGGCTGGGCACCATTCAGGTCCCGCTCTGCTGCTGCACACAGCATTGGGAGCACGCTGCACCACAGCATGTGCCTGCTGCCACAACACAGTGCTGGTCTTGGGGAGCTGGGTTCAGTTCTTTGCTGGGTCACCTGTGCCAGCATCGCACCAGAGTGAACAGCCACCTCACTGCAGTGCTGGGCTGAGTCTTGTTTGTGCTCTCGGCTTTCTTCTCCCTTTGGCTACGGGGCTATCGGCAGCAGGGAATGTAGGACATTCTTTTCAATGAACCAGACTGAAAATATTTTGGTACAGCCCCAGTTTGTAGTTTTTTTTTCCCCCCCTTTAAACAAAACATCCCGATTCAGAGGAGCTTCTCGCAGGCCGGGAATTTCCACATGGCCTTCTTGCAGCACTTATAAAAAGTGATTTAATGCCTGCCAACAACAAATACATTTCCAGTGACACCACCCGGCCGGCCGTGTGCTCACACAGAGGAGAGTGGCGGCTGCTGCTGGGGAGGAACGTTGTCCCTTACGTTTGCTCTTTGGGAAGGCTGAAAGGAAGCAAGGATGGCGGTGACAGCACAATCCCTTCTGTATGCGTTAATCTGGATTTCGTCTGAACTTTTGGAGCTGACCTTGGCTTGAACCGTGTTCAAAACCCCAACTGGTGTGGACTGACTTGACCCCGAGGTTCCATTTGCTCACAATGGCAGCCCTGCCCCAGCGCTCGCTTCCATCCATTACTTTATGGACATAAAAGAAACACAGCATTACAGCGGAGCCTGTGAGTGCAGATATAGCACATAGCCACTGGGCTGGAGCTGTGTGCTGCACCGACGGGCAAACTCTCCTCTGATTCCATCCCAAACAAGTTTTTTTTTCTTTTTTTTTGTTTTGCCTGAGAAAGGACAGACTGAAAACCAAAGCAAGAAACCAAAGCGATGGCTGCCGACTGCAGACTCACAGCTTTTATTACCGGTTTCCAAATCTGAAGATAGAGGGGGAAAAAAAAAAAGCAAAAGCGTTGGAGATCTGAGGAATAGTGCTACAGCTAAAAAAAATCTCCAACCCAAGAGTGAATTTGATATTCGGTGTTTGGGGATGGAGGAGGAAGAGGGTGGTCAGTCCTGCCGCGCTCAGTGCTGCTGGGGGCGGCTTTCGGAGCGCACAAAGATTTGTGGCTTTCGACAGTTTCCTCTCATTTCCATGACTCAAACGGCGTCTATTCCAAACAAGCAGTGGGAAGGAAATGTCACGAGCTGACAGTCCCAGCTCACCCTCTGTTCCCAACAGGAGCTGGCTGAGATGGATGTAGGAATTCGTGTGGTTACAGTGTGAGCCTGCGGTGTGATGCGCTCCGGGGGCTGCGCACAGCTCTTCCCCACAGCCCTGCAGTGCTGCAGGCAGCAATGGACACAGCCACAGCACGTGGTGCCCCAACACGCACATCTGAGCAGTTTCAGGTTTAACTTCGATTTATTCAATGACACATGCATTTCTGGACAGACAGCCGAGTTCCAGTGAACAACGTTTATAACCAAAGATGAGAAATCTGTGACTGCAGTTAGTCAATTATGTATGTTTCTAGAATACATGGCTAGAATAAAACTGGAGCAAGAGAGATCATTCTTCCAAAGAACAAAAAGAAACATTTTCCACTTGTAATACTCCTGGCATCAGTACAGGGGGAAGGAGGGCAGCAAGGAGCGCAACCGGGGAGAGAAAACACCACCAGCCCTGTCCACAAACGCCCCTGAACTCCCATTCTCTGGAGCTCACTCGTTACCGCTCGGCACTTTGCAGAGAGCTGCAGCTCCCGGCGGGTGCACACCCATAGTGCAGAGATTGCCTTCGTCTCTGAACACAGAAAGCAGAGAGCAGCTGTGACACCATGTGCTCGGCCAAGAACGGCTCAGGCAGATTCCTCCTCAACCAACCTCTTCCCGAACACAGCGAACAAAGCGGCCGCAGCTAGCGAGATCGAAGATGGAGTCTCTTCGTATTGCACAGAAAACAAAGTCAAGGTTTTGTGAGTACGTTCCAGGAAGGTTTACGTGGAAGAGTCACCGACAGCAATCAGGGTAACGAGAACCACCCAGCGCGCAGCGGGCAGCGGGCACATCGGATTGCTTGGGCAGAGAGGCGGCTCGTTACCCCGTCCCCATCTCTCCTCGTGTGACTGACGAACTCAGGGGAAGCCTGTGGGGAAGAGGCTGAGGGGCTGGTTCTCATTAGTCGGGAGGGGCGATCTGTAGCCATCGAAATTGCGAGGAATACTTCCACTGGTGGACCCGGAGCTGTTACTGAGCGTCTCTATGCTTCCCTCTCGCTGAAGCTCTGAAACAGGAAAAGAGAAGAGGCCCTGGTTAGTGTTTCAGATAAAAGAACCCCGAGTGCTGTTAGGTGGGCATCAGTGCGGCCAACCACCTGGGGCTTGCAGGATCCAGGTGTGGGTGTGCTCCCAGCTGAACTGAGCAGGGTGCGAAGGGCAGGGAGGCAGAGGAGGGAACGTCCTTAACTCCCCAGCAGGGACTTCCTACAAAACCGGGCATCAGTGCCTGCTTCTTTGAGGGAGCAGAAAACGCCCCCATTGCTATGCACCCTACAGCAAGAGAACTCACTGAAGCTCTCCCCCTCCCAGTTGCACTCACCGTGCCACCTCCTGCCCTTGCTGACCTCTCAAAGTCCTTCCCACTCTCTAATCTTGCAGCACGAGGATTTTTGTGTGCACAGAGCACTGTCTGCAGCCGTGCCCTCTCTGTGAGCCACTTGAACCCTGCAGCTGACTGAGAGGCAGTGTGCAGTGGCGCAGCTGGGCAGCATCACCCTGCCTGATGCTCAGCAGCGACACACAGCCATGAGATCAAGCAGAACCTAAGCACACACAGGGGACAGGGCACAGGCCAGAGGTTTGGGCACAGTGCTCTGCAGACATTCCCTGCAATGGACTGAGATAAGGGATGTGTCCATAGGCAAAGTTTATGGCAAAAGCAGAAAGTCATCTAAACAAAAAGCATCTCCCAGAGCCACCACCAGGGCTGCGAGACACAGCCCTGTGTCCAGAGGTGCTGCAGTGGGGATGAGTGCCCTGCAGTGGGGACAGCCTGCCCAGGGTAGATGGAGAACAAACCTGCAGGAAATGGGTCACTCTCCAAGCAGTGCCGATAATTACATCAGCTGTATTAATCACCATTCCACACCAGTGTTTCGTTAAGGAATGTGCATGCATAAACCTCTTCATTTTCCTCACATCCTCACTCTCCCATAAGTTCAGGAAGTAAAAACAGTAATTTGAATCAGAACTGAGCAGTGTATCCCACACTAATGTTGTGCTTATCCTGTCTGATTTGGCGCTTTTCTCTCCCCTGCACAGCTGGCTCTGGTTACCACCCCACGTCACGCCTGCACCAGGCAGCCATGGGCAGAGCCACTCGCTCGCTGCATCCCAGCCTCATGCTGTGGAGCCGCTCCCAATGTCCCCTGGCTCTTTTTTGGCTATAATGGATTTTCAGGTTTGTGTTGTTTTTGCAGTAACTGAAGCAAAAGGCAGCGGGGGTGCGTTTCTTGTGCTCCATCCCATCCTGTGCATCGCTGTGGCCTCACTGATGGCCATGGCATGGGATCTGGGGGTGCTGCATGCTGGGGCTGTGGCAGCTGTGTCACCTCTGCGGGGCCTGCCAGGGGGTGGCACTGTGGAGGCTGATGCCAGCTGGGAAAACGGAGGTACAGGATGGGCACAGTGCTTTGCTGGGAGCAGGGAGCTCCCCTCGCTGCTGCCAGGCAAGTTTTCCAGCCCTAGAGCCTGCTCTGGGTCCGGAGGGGAGCAGCCCCCACACCTGAACTGCAGCACAACAGCATGACCACAGCACAGCCCCACACAGCTGGAAGGAGGTGAGCCCACCAGCCCTGTGTGCCAGGAGAACGTCCGCTGGGAAGGAACACACCCAGGAGAGCTGGGGATGCAGTGCAGGGTGAGGGCTGAGCAGCTGTGGCTGAGTTCTGCCATGGACAGCCTCGGCCCCAGCATGTCTGAGGGTTATTGTGTCTGCGCTCCCCCGTGCACACACTGTCCAGATGCATTAACTTCCTTAAATGTACCAGTAAAACAACTGCTTATGATGCACTATAATGAACTTGTACGGTAGCCAACAAATTGTGCATCGTATCAAACCCACTCTGCCTTATAGACTCTCTGGCTATTTTGTAATAACTGCAATTTGCTTCTGCTGAAGCAAGATAGCCAGGGTTGAGAAGTCAGGCTTTGCAGAAACCTAAATATTTGATCTGGGGGGAGAGTGGGTGGGAGAAGGAAGAAAGGGGCCCCTGGGAGCTATTCATGGGGTCAAAATAACATGAGACCTGCTCTTCTCCTTGCGTTTCCACCATCAAGGAAATGAAATACTGTGAGAAGACCAGCACTTGCATGATTTTGGGCCCAGAAATGGCTCCCTGAGGCATTCGAAAGCCCGTGAAAAACAAACACAAATACAAATAGATGCTAATACTGGAAACGTAAATACTAAAACCTGCCCCGTGTCCCTGGAGGAAACGGCTCGCAGAGTTCTGCCTGGCCTAAAAAAAAAAAGAGAAAAAACCACAGACAGGAAAAGAAGATGAAGGAGCAGCAGCAGCAACATCTGCTGAAGCCATGAGGAGAGTCACTGCAGGGCAGCTGGCAGCACCGTGCCTGCAAAGGGGGAACTGCTGCTGTTACCCCCCAGCCCACAGTGAGTGTGATGCCCGGGCAGCAGCACCAGCAGCATCAACCTCTTGTGATCTTGTCCCCGAACTGGCAGCTGAGCCACTCTGCCTCCCCAGAGCCCAGAGATGATGTGGGGATGGGGAGGAGGAGGAGCAGCCCGGGATGCTCGGGGTGTGGGGCACGATGACCCCCTATCCCACAGAGACCGCCGTCGCTTCCAGAAAGCTCTAGGAACTGTCAACGGATTAGAAAGAGAGAAAATCCTGCCAAGCCTAAATGTGAAACCATTTTATGTGGCGCATTAATTCAATGCCTGAAGAAAATCTATATAGCCCTCTTTTGCCCGGAACACTCATAAATTATGCTGCCTTTCTGATCTGTGCTCTCGCCGCAGCGGTCCACTCGAAGCCGTGGTATCTCCTTTATGCCTACTCAAAAATTTCCTCTCCCGTGCATTATTTCTTCTAATGGTTTTCCCTTTCTCCTCAGCCCCCTCCCCTGCACCAGGCGGTCACGCACCATTTCAGACCCCCCTGGAGCCCCCCGTGCCAGCAGAGCCGCCCTTCCCCTCTCGTCCCCAGTGCAGTGCGAGCCCTGGCCGGGATGAGTGATCCAACGACAGCAGCCTGATGTGTCGGGGCAGCGGGGAAGCGGCAGCAACTCTGAATACAAGAATTATTCTTCATCATCTCAAACTGTCACAACACATTACCCTCAAAGCCGCGGCTCGCTGAAGGAGTGACCCTGCGCTGAATGGGAGAGCGCTCGGGGAAAGAACTAATTGTAGCCTCTTTTCACACGTCAGTCACTTTTCACAGCACCAAGCCTTTCAAGCTCAACTAATGTCAAGTTCCCTTTTCCTTTCTCTGGGCTGAGTATTTCTGATTTTTAAGGATGGGGTTTTTAAAGGAACGAGGTCTCTGCTGAGGGAGGGAGGGGAGGGGAGGAAGCGTCAGAGTGAGCACGTATTGGAAAGTCCATCGGATGCATCAAGACTCGTTAGGAATTATACAATTAACAAGTAGGAATGCAGGAAGCGGAGTAATGGCCGGCAGGGCTCGCATCTCCTTGATTTTTGTGCTGTCATTCATTGCAATTAATTCAGGGAAGTTTTTGGGCTCCCCTATGAGCTGGGGCTGCTGGGCAGCAGCTTCCCAGCCCCTGAACCAGGGCATGGGGTGGATGCGGGATGTGGGCTGGGCACAGGGTGCAAGGCAAAGAGGGCATTTCCCATGGGCTGTTTGGGGAAGCAGCAGGCATGCTGTGCCTCACCCCAGTCACGTTTTGCAGCAGCAGCTACAAGGCCGAAGTGAGAGCCCTGCTTTACAATCTCAGATAACTTTCTCCCTTCCTTCCCGAGCAGAGCACTCCCTGCAGACGTGCACCAAGCCATGGCCTGCTCCTCGCTCCCCGATGAACGCTCAGGTTCCTCTCACCTCCTTCTCTGGAGCTGAAATTGTAAAATACTCTGCAGCAAGGACTAATTGTTACTTGTATATTTGCTCAATGCCCATCACAGGGGACTTGCAGAGCAGACTGGGGCTCCTGAATGTTACTTATTAACTGCAATGAATAATAATTATGTATCTTCTGCCATCTGGATTCTCATTCAAAAGGATCCTATACAGAGTGAACACTAAAAGGCAGTTTATATTAACACAGTGCAAGTCCTGAGGATCTCTTAAACTGTTTGCAATTTACACAACACTCCCTAAAGAAGGGGTTACTTAAACACTTTCATTTTGCTCTTGCGATGCAGTATCACACAGAGAAGGGAGCTCAGCATAAAGCCCAGCTCAACCTGCACCCTGCAGCAGGACCAGCAGGGCTGGGTACGCTGGCACACAATGAGCTTCAATATATTGAAGTGCAAGCACTGAGCACTCAACAGATCTCTTTTCACGCTTAAAAAGGAGGATGATCACTGCCATGTCTCCAAGCTCTCTCAACCTGCTCAGCTCAGGGACCATTCCCTGCAGTGCTCCATGTGGCTTCCCCAGACCTGCCCCAAGAACTCGTTTTTCCAAACAAATGCAGCACTGTGGCACTTGAACACTGAAAACCAACCTCCGTATTAAAAGCATTTCATCCTGCTGCATCTTTCAAAATGTTGAGACACCATGGGAGCACCCACATTAAATTTGCAAAGTCAAGAAGACTTGCAACCACTGCCTGTACAGCTCCTCTGAAGCTCCATGGCCTATGTAAAATATTAGCTGCTGTCAGACTACCTTATGGTAACTAATGCTGAGTCCACGTAGAGTTTGTTAACGTGATGCACTTGGAGATGGAAGCTGGCATCTTGGAAAGCAGGTGCAGGATGCTGCAGGTAGAGCAGGAATATGGAAGGCAGGGGATCACCAGGAGGACGTAGACTGAGACTTCTGCACATCAGAGCCCCTCGGAGACTGCACATTTCATTTCAAGTGCCGTATTTCAATGCTAGGATGCCAAACATCCAACACACACAGAGCTGAGCTTACAGAAATGCTGTATTTACTCCACACATGGAGAGATTGCTGAAATACCGACAAAAGATTTTAATGTGTGAACTTCCAAAGAATTTACAAAACTCTTCAAAAGGTCTATGGAAAATAATAAAAAAAACCTTGTTTTTTTGCTAAAAAATGAGAAA